TGCACACCTCCGTATCTCCACCGTGTTGTCTCCAGTACGCCAAGGCCACTGAACCGCAGCTGCCACCTTCTCCCAGCTACCGTGGGAACGACTAACATCTGTTATCAAAAGTGTTTAGGCCGCTGAGCTGGGCGCTTACTAAACACATACACACGGGTCCTCCAGAAGTTCACAGTGCACAGGGGACCATGAGGATAAACACAGAGACTCGGAGCATATGCCTGGGCCAGCACGGGGTGAGACAGGCCGCGGGTGAAGGTGCCATTACAGAAAGATGCTTCCTGTGTTCTCGCTAACCACCACGCACCCTCTCCACACCCCACTCTCTGCAGAATGACTAGCTGCATTTTACAGCTGGTGGAAGCAGGAAACAAATATGTTGAAAGAAAAATACACGTCACAGGTGATGTCTCTTCCTACTTCCCACCTTACCACCACCCATGTGGAAAGCTGGTAAACAATCCCATCCTTTTTAATCCTACAGGGTGACTCTGAAACTAAAAAAGAAAAAGAAAAAAGAAAAAAAAAAAAGCCAACACTTAGAAGCAGATTAGAGAATGCCCCCTTCTTAGAGGCCTTGGCTGGGGTTGGCGAGGGTGGAGTAGGAGACAGCTTCTAGCCATGATTGGATTTCTAAGTCACAAAGGTAAATTATGATTTAAAAAAAAAACACATTGATTTTAAAAAACTTAAAATAGGAAAAGGAAATGGCAAAACCTTCCGCTCGACCTGTGCAGGGTGGTGGGTTCAGCAAGATGTGGCCCAGGGGTGTCCTGGCCTAGGTGCGTTCCACTGCAACCATAAGAGCAGCTTGAGGAGCGGTTGTGAGAATCTAGAATATTCTTTTTGGAGATGTGGTTGTGAGGAAAAGGAGTGGGGAAGGTGCGGGCAGCGTGGCTTCCTTTCAATTGTTTGTACAAAGCTGCAAACACTGATACTGAAAAAGAAAGATTCTAAGCCAATCTATGGAGGAAAAGCCTAGCACTCTATATCCAGAAGACTTGGAGGGCTCACCCAGGCAGTTTGCACCTTCACATTCAGCCCTCTTACCTCTAACATTTTATTAAATTCAGAAGGTGAATCCACCTTTCAGCAGTGTTTTAGATGGCACGCGACTTGCACAGTGTCTGTGATCCAGAGCCATGCAGCACAGCGGTCAGGAGCACGGCCTCTGGAGACAGACCACGGCGTTTACATCCCAGCTCTGCCACTTGCTAACAGCACACAGTGGGCACCAGGTGGATGCTCTGTGCCTCAGCGATCATATTTTCAAAATGAGAATGATGACAACCTAACTCACAAGGTTGTTGTAAGACTCAAATGAATGTGGGTGTACATCTGGGGTATCAGGGACTGGAAGAGGCTCCTCCAAGGCTATTACCCCCTGATCTACACGCTGCTGAGAGGGGGCTTGGCAGATGCATCTGAGGCCACTCACCGGCGGACCTTAAGATAGGAAGACTGCCTGGATCATCCAGGAGGACCAGTGAACTCATGTGAGTGTTTAATAACAAGAGAAGGGCGTACTGATGTGTCAGAGAAATGCTTTGGAGAGATGAGCAAAGAGGAGAGGCAGAGAGACTCTGACCTTGGAGACACACACCCACTGCTGCTTGGGGCAAAGGGACCATGAGTCACGGGCTGCAGGGGGCTTCTAAGCTGAGAATGACTCTGGTCAACTGCACTAAGGAAATGGGACCTCAGTCCTCCACGTCCCTACCGCCTGAATGAGCTTGGGTTCTTCCCTAGAGCTCTGCCAAATAGTACAGTCCTGCCAAGTAATATTAGCCTTGTGACACCCCAAGCCAAGTGCCATCTGAGCCATGCTGCACCCAGACTTCTGACAAAAAGAGCCAAAAGATGATAAATGGGTGTTGTTTGAAGCCACTCAGTTTGGGCTAATTTGCTGCAACAGCCCCAGAAAACCAATACAATGTCCATGTGTCTGTGTGAACTCAGGGTCAGTACCTGGGGGCCTCTGCACACTGAGGGATGGGAACATTTTCAGAGTGGGAGGCACAAGGCACAGCTCTCTGATTTTATATTTTACCCATAGACTTTCCTGAAATCACTCCCCGAATAGCAGAGAAGGTCAACTAAACACACACTCCAACTTCCATGGAATTAAGAGGCATGGAGAGCTCCCCCAAACAAGGATATATGAAAGTGGAAAGCAAATGAAGACTTGTGATTCTGATCATGTGGCAGATGGTGCCCTGGTAGAGCACCCAGACTCCTTCTGAGATCGCCAAAGACAGGAGTGTATCCAAGGGACAGAGCTACAGCACTTTCTGGAGGGCAAACCATAGGGCAGGATTGCACCAACAGCAAATGCCAATAGGAATGTCCACCTCGGGCTTGCATATGCAGCCTCAGGCCAGCTGTGAGGTGAGTAGCTGAGCCTGCGCCTCCGCATTGCACTTGCATGAGGATGAAGTGGTCTAAGGTCCGGGAGCCCCAGTTCTCCAAAAATGTAGCTATGTGTCCTCAGAAGGAGAACACCCCCAAAATAGACCCATGGGATTTTCTAAAGAATAAAAAAAAAAAAAAAAAAACCTAGCAATGAGCTTGCAATCATAGATCAGCAAGTACCAAGTACCCAAGTACCCAAGCTAAGAGGAGTGAGAATCCCAAGAAGCAGGAAACAACAGATCAGGCCCTTTCCTGAGAATCAGCTAATACAGAGTACAGAACCACTTGTGTGTAGGAAGGGGAAGTGAGAAGGATAACACCACAAAGATGACACACACCTGTGATAAGTGACTGTCAGAGTTGAAGAAGGTCAAAACTAAGAGCTTCAAGTGTGGGGGGCGGGGGGGGGGGGCGGGGCATGATGATGCTGACAGAGGCAAATAGCTCTCCGGGAAGGATCTACACAGTCCAGGGACTCAAACAGTTGTTTAGATAGAACCTGATTAAATAGAACTTATTAACCATAAGAGATTCCCCTACAGGTAAGTGTGGAAAAATCCCTAAAAATCCCTACATGAGCTCCAAAGTTTTCCCATCAAGAATAAATGCCCAGAGAGAATTTAAAGGGAAGGGGAATCACCAAACAAGTGTGCTCTCTACACAAAAGCTTATCTGCTGTGCTTCTGAGCCAAACAGGCTCTGATTTGTGCTTGGACCTCAAGTGCTCAGAGTTTCACCACCTACCTGGTGCCCTCAACTCTTAGTCTGAGGGACTTTTTTGTTTGTGGGTTGCCCTGTAAGCATTAAAAAAGTGTGCTATCAGCAAATAGCGACTCTGATCATTACAGGGATTACATTTCTACACATTTAATTCCACGTTAATTTTTTCAAACTTCTTATCCTTGCTTTCCTATCCATGAGTAAACATTAACTCAACCCACTCTTAACACCAGGGTTTTAATGACTCATGACATGGCAATTAATCAAAGACTTCTCAAAGCCTAAATATATTACAGTTGCTGGTTCCTCCAGCCACATAACAATTTGTTCCCTCACAGAATATTAATTGATTCATCAGGCATGGATTCCTTCTATAAGAATCACGATTTTTTTTGACACTCTATTGCAATCAATGGCATTTGCTTAATAGATCAGTGAGCATATATTTTAAGATTCTTATAAACTATTTTGTAGATAGAAAATTATGAAACCCCAAATAAAATAAACACCCCCAATCTTATCACCCAATCAAAGATCAGATCCCATTGGCCAACATCACGAGAAATAATTTTGAGATATTTCTGGACCCCACCCTCTAGACTACTCCCTCTCTAGAAGACCATTCTTGCTTATAAAGGTAGTTTTAGAACATATAGTAGTCTCCTAACAATACATTGCTTGAATGTGCTAGCTTTTGAGTTTTACAAATATGGTATTTTATTGTTTGTAGTCTTTGGCAACTTGCTTTTTTGTTGAGCATAAGTTTCTAAGACATGTCCATGTTGTTGGGTAGCCAGTGGTTCTTCATTTTCACTTTAAACAATGTACCATGGTGTATTTATTGGTTCTCCTGTTCTTGAACACTTGGATTGTTGACTGTTTTTCACTGTTGTGAACAAGATTGTTGTGAACATTCTCAAACATGTCTGTTTAAGAAATTGCAAAAACTGTTCTAGAATTTGACATAAAAATGGAATTGCTGACTCAAAGGGTACATGCATGTTCTGTTTTATAAGATAATAACAGATGTATTTTCCAAAGTGGTGGTACCAAATTATACTCCTACTATACGAGAGGTTCTGTTTCCTCATAACAGATCATTGCCAGCACTTGATAATGTCAGACTTCTTAATTTTTGCCAATTTAGTGGGAGTAAAATAGCATGTCGTTGTGATCCTAATTTATATTTTCCCTGTTACTAATGAGGCCCAGCATGTTTTCACGTTTTTGGATTGTCTGTCACCTGCCTCCTAATAATTTTAAGCAACCCATCTTGTAGCACTGCCTATCAAACTATTCATCAGCCCAAAATCTTCTTAGGAGGATGGAAAATAAATAAAGGTGCCGGTGACCTGAGTTACCCCTTGCCTGTGTAAGGGACGTTGCTGTTAACTGTCATCACATAGCTCCTCCCCCACTAAACAGCAGCTGGTGGACAAGGGATTTGGGCTCAGCTCAAAAGGTGGCCGCAGAGAGTCAAAGGGAATCCCACCTCCCAGAATGGAGATGTGCACCAAGTCAGTCAAAAGAGATTCAAAGGAGGACTGCTGGTGGCTTCTGGGAAAGTCCTTCCCTACTCTCCCAGGCAGCAACAGGAAGCCAGGATCTATTTGACATCAGACAGGAAAAGGCAGCATACAGATGCGCCTGCTTCCGTAGCCACCTAAGCTCACAGGAGGACCAATCACAGGGCAGGCTGTCAGGGTGGAAGGCAGAACCGACAGATGGGCCTCTGATGACATTGCTGAACTGCCACATGAACCCACACGGAACTGCTCAGCGGCTGGGCACCAATTTATGTAAATCAACACATTTCCTGTTGCTTAAGGCCATCTGGGCCTGGTTTTCTTTTACTTCATCCAAGAGCATCCCTCATGCAAGTTATGTGACTTACAACAAATGCAACAGAAACTACGAGGCGTGAGGGCATTCCTGACCCCCAGGGAAGGCTGACCAACTGCAAAGGTGGGAGACTGCTGACAACCCTGTGACATCCATATTGTCACACGCTGGGGGATGAGTGAGGAACAAGAGTCAGGGTCGCAGGGCAGAGTTGATACTCAGAAATCTGGGATGGGGGACACAGGCTTTGAAACACCCCCCTCCAAACAGGATCCTTCAGAATAGTTGTTGTTAATTAAACCACACAGGGTAGCTCCTCAAAGGGCTGAGCGATGCCCTCACAGTCGACTTGCCTTCTCCACCTTCCCTCAACACTTACAGTAGGTCAGGGCATCGGCTTCTTAGCTTCCCTGAGGACAGGCGTGCTACTGGTCTACTTTGCAGCCTTCTTTCCACCAGGTTTGAACACTGACATCAACTCCAGTGGGCCCTGAGAGAGAACCTGTCCTCTCTGAGCCTCAGTGGCTTTCTCTGTCACAAGGACAACATTCCAAGACGGTTGGGTGTATCATCAGACCTCAGTAAGTGGCTGCCCTGTGCGTGGTGCTGTGGGGGAGTGCAGGAGGACCTGGCCTCCAGCTATGCTTGCTGTGGCCAGAGGCTGCTCCTGTCCTTAGAATCCCTTCCTGCACAGAACAGAGTCCTGTGGCCTAAAAATCCTAGAATATTTCCTTCTCAGGGAAAAGTAAAACACCTTTAAGTTCTATTCTTTATAATAAGGGAGAATCTGAGCAATGTATATGTCAACTGACGAATGATGATCTTATCACATTATCATCATAGAACTAACCCCTGAAGTCCTGTTAGAGGCCAGGCTTCTGGCTCCAGGAGCCAATAAAATGCTCCACACACCATGTCTGTGTGGGGAAATCAGCACAGGCTGCAAGGATTGTCTGCTCATTCCAAAACAAAACAGTATCAATTGTGGGAACACAGGCTCTCTTTTCTCTCTTTTAATAATTGCCACCACAGACACAATACAAGAGCTGATGCAGCTTTGATACCAAGGTTACATTTCAGTGCCATGAACTACGTCTAATCACAGGCTACAATGTAATCTTACAGAATGATGGCAACAAACAAAATCCAAAGATACAACTAATTTGGAGTAGAACAGATTCCTGGAATCATTTTGTTGTTGTTCAGAAAAATTCCTAGAAATGAGTGACACCCCCAAAATCACATTATTTCAAATTTTTCACATTTTTAAAAATTTATAAAAGTACCCTAAGCAATAGCACATTCATCTGCAAAAAAATTTACAGACTATAGAAATAGGTCAAATTATTTTTTTTTTCAGGTTAGAAAATACGAAAAACCGATTTGGAGGAAGGAAGGAATAAGAACCAAACAAAAAGAAAGGAAACAGGAAATCCAAAGTGGGTCCTGCCAATGCTGAGTGTTATTTATACAAGAAAATGATGTAAGTTTGAAACTCCAGAACAGAGAAAGAGAAAAATGTGAATTTTATCATTGGCCTCCTTTTTACCCTTAGCTGCTCTGGTGTTGTCTGGGACCACCACCCGGCAGGAGAAACTGTAAGCTGAATCTGATCTTTCGATACATGCAGCAATGAACTTCATAATTAGCCCACGATCATGGTCTCCTCTTCCTGGAAATTGCAATCTACTTTATTTTTCCAACCAAGGAATGTCTGGTGCAGTTTTGAAAGGTTGCTAAGGAAAGGTTTTCAAAAGGTGATACAGTGCATGTAATGTCTTTATTCTCTTCTTCATGGAAAATTCAAACCTTTATCTTAAACGTGAAAGCCTCAGAAGGCTTTGATTTTCCTTCACCTTTGCGGATTCTGCTGCTGGGGGTCACGTTCTCTCGTGGGCAACAGTGGGCTTGTGACAGTGGCCCATGGGCTTCTCTAATTGGAGAAAAATAAAGCTGCTTCCCTGACGTCCATGCCTCTCCTACACCCATCTGCCAATCATGATTCTAACTCCAGCTGCTTCCCAGCTCTTCCCTCTTTGGCCTGTTCCATGTCCACACTCATCTTATGACTGGAGTCTTGCAATAACGTCTGAATTCTCCAGCTCCCCAACATCCCACTCCCCATACAACAGCTACAGTGACCCTTTCAAAACGACTTCCTATTGTATTTAATGACCTGACTTCCTGCTCTCTCGCCCCTATCTTCCTACCACTCCTTGTCTTGTTCAATGCACTCAATGATGCCCATCTTCTTACTAATCCTCAGTGATGCAAAGTGCATGCCATCTCGAGGCCTTTGCACTAGCTGTTCCCACTCCCTGGAATATTCTTCTTCCACATGAAAGTCAGTCCCTCATTTCTTTCAGATTTCTGCTCTGCATCACCTCTTCAAAAATGCTTTCCCTGGGGAAGGTGCTGGGGAGAGATTGAGCAAATCATATCATGTACTGTATGAGTACAGCTTAATGAATACACTATGGTTATGTCTAACTCTAATGCACTAATAAAAATTTTTAAAAATGTTCTCCCTCACTCCCTCATCCAAGTCAGATTAATCTCCCAGTCACTGTCTATCACCTTTCCTCTGGATTTTCTTCTGTCATCACGATCTGACATTATACTATACATGAATTTATGGATTTGCAAGTGGCATAAGCCTCTTGAAGGCAGGGACTTTGTCTTGTTCGTTACTAACTTCTTTAGCATCTAGACTCATGCCCAGTCCTCACTAAGTATTTGTTGAATGAACCATGAGTGGGTGAGTGAATCTGATGGTCTCCCAAGAGCTGCAGACCTAGGAGTTACATAATTTGAGCAAATTCCTACTTCTTCAAAGAAAATATTTTAGACCATTATTATAAGCAGATGGTTGGTTGGATGCTTAGAATAATCCAAGTAGAAAGTTCCAGTATTTCATGCGACATGGAACACTGCCTTCATCTTGCACTCGCCCCATGAGCACTGCATGTAAAACAGCCCTTGGGGAATGCCAGTAACGGAACCCGTCAGGCGAGGATGGTTCTGGGCTGCTCGCTACTGACTGAATGTTTGTGTCCCTCCAAAATTCAGATGTTGAAACCTAACCTCCAATGGGATGGGATCACGGGGTGGGGCCTTGGGAAGTGGTCAGGATTAGATGAGGTCATGAGAGTTAAGCACTCATGATGGGATCAGGATCCATAAGAAGAGGAAGAGCTTTCCTGGACCTGTGACTATACATCAAGAAGGTGGCCATCTGCAGACCAGGCAGCAGGTCCTCACCAGACCCCCAACCTGCAGGAGCCCTGATCCTGGATTCCCCATCTTCCAGAACTTTGAGAAATTCTTGTTTGTTGTTTAAGATACACAGTTCAGGTATTTTACCAGCCCAAATGGGCCACTGCTCTATGACCAAAGATACAACCAGTTGCATATAAAAAGTGTTCTCTGATCTGCAGAGGAAGTTTAGCTACAAGAGTTAATGAGTCCAGGGGACAGATGGGGTTAAACTCAGGCAGGTTGTCAGAATTTTCTGTTTTTTTTTTTTTCTTCAAGTTTCCAGAACTGAATGTATTAAATCTAACCACAGACAAAAACAGTGTCAAACACAGTTCCGCTTTACCAAAGCTATTAAGCATCCAAATGAATCTAACTAATATTAAGCATATGGGGTCCAAATCTGCTCAGCAGTCCCTGCACAACAGCTGCTGAACTGGTGCAAAAAAAAAAACATAGATTAAAGCTACAGGTAGTTTTAATATATTAATAAAGCCCCATGTTTAAATTAACAGATTCTTTTGCATTATTCTTTGGATATACCACCACCTTTATCTGAATTGGCTATTTTTAAATTTTAGCTTTTGTACATGGAAAGAAATAAACAAGGTGTAGCACAAGAGGAAGTAGGAGCACAGGGCTAACATCTGTTTCAGAAAGGTTTTTTATCTCTCCATTCAATGGCACAGGAGTTTGCTAAGAGACTCCAGAGATAATGTGCCTTACGGACCTTCCATATATTAAAAAAAATAACCTGTGCAAACGATGATATCTACAAAGGCACTTACTTTTCTGCACCAAATCCCTTGTGTAATTTGATTTGGACTTGACCCCCACACTTGATTGCTGGTGCTTCCTGCGCTCATAGTGCATTTTAAAGCATTTTCCCATAATGAGTTCAGGAGGCAAGACAAATATTATTCCAGGTTCCTGATGAAGACAGTGCACTTCCTGGACAAAGGGATTGTGGAAGGCCTGCTGCCTTCTGCTGCCCTCTCTGTCTTCATCAAATCATGCTGGGATATTGGCTCTGTCTCTGATTCGGTTATAGGCTATACGAAGGGAGGGTGTGCGTCTCACAGTGCTGGCCCCAGAGTAATGACTTTAAGTGTGTGTTGACAGGGCTGGTAGAAAGAGCCCTGCAGATTGAATTCTGGTTCTGAGTCACTGTCTTCATTTGTGTGATTGGTGGCAAGTCACCGAGATGCAGATACCTCATCTGCTGAAAACAAGTGTTGGGTTAAAAGCTGGCACTAATTATCCAGTCGTATAACTCACAAACAGTATGTTCACAGGCTTTGCTTCTCTTTGAAGGGTTTCTTCCGACCTCATCACCAGGAGCCCTTCCCAGATCTCAAGTTGTCAGATTCCTAGTTCTTCCTGCAACTTGATGAGATGCCGGGGTCCTTAGGCCTGTCGGGACGGATCCTCAGAACTCAGCAGCTCTCCCCTTCCCCAGTCCATGCCAGTCAGGCTGGACTGGGTCTTTCTTTGCTCTGAGGCCACTATGTTCACAGAGAAGGCAGATGAGAAGATGGAGAAGCAGTGGCCAAGGAAAAAAGGAGTCTTTGTACAGGAAAGTCCTCTGAAGGCTAATGCAGGGTCGCGTGTGGATTCCTAGGACTGCCATAACCAAGAACCACAAACAGGGTGATTGAAAACACCTGAAATGTATTGTCTGACAGTTCTGGAGGCCACATGTCCAAAATGAATGATCAGCAGGACCGTGCTCTCTCCAGAGCCGTCTAGGCAGACAGACCCCGCTTTTCTTCTTCCAGCTCCTAGTGTTGCCAGCCTCCTCTGTGGCACTGCTTGACTTGTGACTGCCCACTCCAGTCTCACGGCCACCTTCTCCCTGTGTCTCTTCACATCATCTTCCCTCTGCATGTCTAAGTCTGTGCTCAAATTTCCCTTTTGGGGGGAGGGTGGACTGGGGATTGAACTCAGGGGCACTCGACTGCACCCCAGCCCTATTTTGTATTTTATTTAGAGACAGGGTCTCACCGAGTTACTTGGCGCCTTGTCATTGCTGAGTCTGGCTTTGAACTCATGATCCTCCTGCCTCAGCCTCCTGAGCTGCTGGGATCACAGCCATGTGCCATCGAGCCTGGCTAAAATTTCCCCTTTTCATAAGGACACTCACTTATCCAATTAAGGCCCATCCATATGAATTCATTTAACTTCACTACCTCTGTAAAGGCCCTACTACCTCTAAATAAGGTCACATTCTGAGGGACTGGGGGTCAAGACTTCGACATGCCTTTTGGGGGATAGAATTCAACCCCCCAACAACATGGGAGGAGGCAATTTAATCGCCAGTGTCAGAGAGGATCAGCCCATGGCGGAGTTCCTGCACCCCCACGCCTCACGAACCACACAGGGCCTCTGTGCACAGACCCTAGGGATATTCCCAGGGAACCAAAGTGACTGCTATGCTGGACTTGACCTATCCCCTCAGAACGACACTAGAGAGGCAGAGTTGGACGTCCCAGAGGTTGCTGCCTGCTGGTCTGTAATCTTGGGCTCCACAAAAGAATAGGGCAGGAGGAGGAGTTGGCTGTATCAGGAGAAGGAGGATTTCCGGTCACTGGAGGTGTAGTACTGGGTACAAGGTATATAAAGAAATATGCTTATGAGGGCTGGGGTTGTGGCTCAGTGGTAGAGGCGAGGCCCTGAGTTCGATCCTTAGCACCACATATAAACACATTTTAAAAAAGGTATTATACCTAACTACAACTACAAAATAAATATTCTAAAAAAATCAGAAATATGCTTATGAATACATAAGCACTGTCTCTGGCTTCGTAGAAGTGTTTGCTCGGGCTCAGACTCAAGAGGGAGTCACAGCAGTCCACCCTGTGGCTTCTCCTTTCATGGGTGCTCTCTGTGGGGAAGAAAACGTTCGAAGCATCCAGTACCTGCAGGCTGTCCGCTGCCTGATGGGCAGGAGATCAAAACGGCATTTCATTCTTTTATCCACTACTGAAAGAAAGGGGGCAGTTCTAGAAGAGAGCCCCACTCCGTTCACCTCCCAAGTGCAGGCTTCACGGCAGGAGAATAGTTTAGATGTTAATCAGTGAGAATGTTAGTTATGTCACTTGCTGAGTTCATGCAAATTTGCTAAATAATGCTGATAAGTTTAGTTTGTTCTTAAAATATATGAAGGCATTTCAAACATTTGTCAAGTAGCCACATAGCATACAAATAAAAATGAAGGAGTACACCTAGCGCTATGGGATCACCAAAGAAGTTTAGAACAAGAATGCCAAGCATTTTCAAAGGTTTTTTTTTTGAAAAAAAAAAAAGGAGTAAAAAGTAAAAAGTAACATGATTGATTAATTCTACTGTCCTATATTTGAATATAGGAGCAGGGTAACTCTACAGCATGTACCATTACAAAAGTGGGATCCTCAGTAGAATAGACTCTATGTATGAAAAGTCTGCCAAAACAGATTCTACTGTCATGTCCTAAGAAAAAATTAAAAAATAAAATAAAATATAAAGAAAAGCAACAGACCAAATTTAAAAAATTATTCTCTTGCAAAAAAAGAAAAAGAAAAGAAAAACGTAATATGAGCTGCTCCTAGTCCGTGGCCATTCCTGGGCTCCACCCCAGCAGCTGTGTATGCACCCTGGGCTCTTCAACCTCAGCAGCGCCTATGGCTCTACCAAGCACTTCCCACCTAACAGGCCCCCAGGCCCCTCTCGCTCCACGGGGGTGGTCCTGGCAGCAGGACACCCAGGGGCCAGTTACCATTCATGCTTCAGAACCACATTTATCCCACTAAGGCCCCATGTTGGTTGCTATTCTTTGCTCAAAACCCTCCTTCTGCTACCCACTGCCATGTGAAGTACAGACTCCTGGGCCTTCCTTATGCCCCTGTATACTTTCCAATATCATCTTCCAAAATCTAGAATACCATGTAACCTGGACTTCTCGGTATTTCTCAGAATGCTTGACACTGGCTCCTTCTCCAAGTTTATGAATGCCGTTCTTTCCTGCCACCTCCTTATAAAACCCCACAGACTCTCCCTTGGATTCCTTCATGGGCTACTTCTCCTCGCAACCCTGAGTCTGATGATGCTATAGAGTCTGTCTTCTCAGGCAGCCAATGCCCCACAACCCCCACTGTAGCCATCATGTACACATGGCCTGCCCTTCTGGTTACAAGGAGAGGGAGCAGGAGTAGGCCTGGTCAACACTTTTGTCACTCACAGGGCTTACCCAGGGCGTGTACATCACATGTGTCTGTTAAATGAATGAAATCAGGAGATGCTGAAAGCTCATATTCTATTCCAATTTTAGACTACTTTAAAAAAATCTCATAGATACACATGATGACAAAAGTTAAGCTTATTTTAATTCTCCAAAAAATAGAAGTCTCCATCTCTTCAGTGCTTGGTGAAGAATCTACAGATAGAAGCTTGGGGGAGGGGATTCGTAAAAACTGTGAATCCCTTGAGGTGCACTTTTTCTACATTCATCTCGAGAAGAGAGAAAAACAAACCCAAGAGCTCCATAGGAGGCTCTGACCCCACAGACTAGCCTAGTAACTGTAAAGCAGAGTTGAAATGCCAATTCTAAGTTGCGTTATTTCTAGGAAAACATGAGACTTTTTGTGACGAGAAAGACAAGAAGAGACTTTCAAGTAGATGATTGATAAGCATTTTATCACTTGACTCTTGGTTTGGTTGTGCCTGATATTTTTGAAATGTAGCATATGTATTCAGGATATGAAATGAATTTGAGATTATGCATTCAGGAAATGAAATGGATTTGGGACCATAAAGCCAATAAAATGCAATTTAACATTTTCTTTCTTTGTATTTATTAGATTCTTTAAAAGTTATTTCCTTTTAGACTTCCTTAATGAAACAAAGTGAACTATATTGGAACCAAAAAAAAAAAAATTATGAGAACGGGTAGGTATTGTCTGAGGAGCAATGATCTATAAGAAAAGTCAGTGATGTCCCTTTTAATAAAAATCTGCCTACAGCGTTTGGCATCCTGAATGTGTTTGAAGTCCTAGCATCCAGACCTCATCCCGGCTGTCCTCTCTAACCTCAGGCTCATTATCTCTTAAGGAGCAGCAAGAACACAGCCTCCTGCCCCTCTTGACCCCAAGGTCATCACTGCTCTTGGAGTCCAGGTAGAAGGCCTGCAGGGCCCCCAGGAAGAGGGAAGTGGGAAAAGCTCAGCCTCCGGAGTGCTGGTCTCTCACCTGTGTCAAATAGGTCACAGGCAGTGTCCCAGCACTTCCTGGTAAATCCATGCATGTGACCTCCTGCAGACTCTGGCCTCAGCATCTCAAATATATAAGGACTTCAAAGTTATCATACAGATTATCAAGTCCCACCCACTCTTTTCACAGTCTGAAGAGACCAAGGCTCAAAGTGAGGAAGCAAAAGTCTAAGACCGCTCAAGTCTTCACAAATGAGTGCATGCAGAAACTCATTGTAATGGTCAATTTGAATCATCAACTTGATTGGATTAAGAGATGCCGAGGATTAAGTGGATTATGGGTGTGTCAGTGAAGGTGTGTCTAGGAATGATTGGCATGTGGGTTAGCCAATTGAAATGGAGACCCCTCCTAAGGTGGGCAGCATCAACCAATAGGGTGATGGCTTGGATAGAATAAAAGATGATCAAAGAACCAGCAGCAGATGCAAGCTCAATTCTTCCTGAATGGGTTCTTCATTGCTGCTGTGATCATCTGAGGATATGGAACTCTCCCTTCTTTACTCTTCCAAAGTGGATTCTCCAGAAGCCTTTGGTCTTGGACGAGGGTAGCACCATTGACCCCTCTTGTTCTGGGGCTTCAGCCTCTTGGACTGCACAGGTACTGGTTGTCCCGCTCTCCAGCCTGCAGACAGCCATCGTGAACTATTCAGCTTCTGGTCATGTAAGCCAACAATTATAATAAGTCCCCTTTTTATAATTATACTTCCTGTTGATTCTGTTCCTCTAGAGAACCCTAATACACTCATAAGTCCCATTCCTTGGTTCCAGCTCTTGCTGAGCATTGATGTCCAGGCATGGCTTGTGTTGGGGAGCATGGAAGCAGCTGTGGCGCAGTGATGGTGGATGAGGACCATGCTCCTGCACCCCACCGGTCTGAGCATGGGTTGCACACCTTGTGTGGGCTTGTCTGTTGCCCAGCCAAGATGGCAGGCCCAGAGCAGGCAGTCACCAGGTGCCTGCTTCCCGGGAGAGACTTCTCACCCCATGACCCGTGAGGCAGCATCACGGAGCAGCAGGGAATATCTCTAAGGGGACTCTGTGGATGTCACAGAGAGTCCTGATGGTATCATGCTCAGAGCTCAGCGTTATGGCTTTTCCCATTGTTGACTAGTTTTCCAGAAAACACAACTAGCTGCCTGGCATACTTTTGGCTTCATGCAACCAGCTGCCAGAAGAGAGCAGGATCACTAAAGTAGTCAGGAAAGCCCCCTTCTGTGTGCCCTCCAGAGCCCCCTCATGGTCTTGGGGGGACAGGTCTCACTTCCTCTGTCTGCACCCTGACCAGGCCCTAGTGGTTTGGTGAGTGCCGCCCTCACACTGTCCTCGCTTGCCCTTGTGGTGACTGAGGTTTATCTGTCTGCAGACTGGCCCTCACCACAGGGGCCGTGGAGCCCTGCCCTGTGACCTCCTGTGGCTGTGAGACTGTGGGCCACACCCCACCCCAGTGGAGTTTCCTTCCTGCCGTGGCCAGCCGTGGAGCCCTCACTGACTGACAGCGCCCGTTCCCCTAAAGGGCTGCTGCAGGCCTTGCAGGAGCAGAGGAAGGGAAAGGAAAGGCTGGTCTCCTCCTCAGCACAGAGCTGAGCCCCAGCACAGAGGAGAGCAGAGGGAAGGAGTCTAGGGAAAGCCGGGAGGTGAATCTAGGCTGCACCGTGACAGCGCAGGAGGAGCAGACAGCATAGTCCCAAAAGAAGCCCACGACTACACCCAGGAGGGTGACATATGAACAT